AAGTATTAATAATAATGATTTGTATTGGCACCCAGAGGCCCCAGTAAAGACATGGGTCTCATTGCACTAACTGCTGTACAAATACAGTGAGGGACAGTTCTTGTCCAGAAGAGTTTACCATCTATATAGACAAGACAGGCAAAGGGTGGGAGAGGAGATGGCACCACTGGGAAATGAAGTGACTTACCCAAGGTCACACAGCGACAGAATTAGGAACAGATCAAGGTCTCCTGCAGGGTGGATTTGATTTAAATCATGGTTTAAATCACTAGTCAGGAAGACTCAATTTAATCATGGATTTCTACATAAAAGTGCATTCTTGTTGGTTGTTATAACTTTAATACATATTCTTCACAACTCAGAGATAGATAAGACCCAAACTGGGTCTCTTTTATGGCCTGCTGCCATTATTGGTTTTCCCTTCTAGTGAGAGAATGGTATGGTAGATCTCAAATGAATGAAGGCTACACTCAGAAAGACCTCAAGACTTCTGGAATATGCTGCTCAAACATTTTCACTTTTGTTTCTCCTGCCTGTCCCTTCCTTCTCACATTTATCTTCAGACTTCTTCTCCTTGTCCAGATCTATTCTGCCTCCAACAATCTTCTATTCATTGAACTTTTTGAAACTTTGCACCTTTTAGAGAGAGAGAAGGGATTACCTCTGTGTACGCAGATTTGCAGAGGGACAATAGGGTTGAGGTCTGTTATTTCTCACCTCTCTATATTTATTTATTTAAAAACATTTTTGCTGTTAACAAGCATGTTATCTTGAGACACACATCCACAGTTTGAGAATTGCAAAACTAAGCATCTCTGATGGTATCTTCTAGACTTAGCACTGAGTCCCATTGGGTAGGTAGAAAGATTAACCTAAATAATCTATACAGAAGTCCCTGGGACTCCGTAAGATTGGGTCCCTAATCCATGAACTATTGGAACTCGTTTACAACACTTTTCTTAAACATTACATGAATATATTGTCTCATACTATAGAATTAGAATTCATAATCCCTATTACATGATGAGGTATCTTTGAGTTATAATATATCTTTATCTTTAGATAAAATTATTTTTGAGGAAAAAATCTATCAAAAAAATTCGATTAAAAAAAAATCATAGATTTGTATCCACCCTTGTCTCCTGAGTGAAAGTTCATACCATAATACCTCTCTTGTGAGCTGCCTCTTTCCCCACTGCTACCAATGGATCCATTGCAGGTGTATTAGAATCCCCAGTAGCCTTAGAAACAAACAATTTACTTTTCCATTTCCGTCAATTACTAAGCTTTTACAGATACAAATATTAACCCAAAATCTTGATGGAGAAAGACCTACCTAAATAATATCTTTCTTTAAAGGACCTGGATGCTGCCTACCAGTTAATCGGGATGAAGCTGAGTCTCTCCAAAGTGGTCAGTGGGTGTCGTCTTGGGACACTGACAAACCTTGGCAAGAATGGGGTTCAAACCATGGAGCTTCCAGGCTGCCTACTGTATACCAAAACAGGATCCCCACCACACCTCACCCATGACACACTGCAGGCAATTAAAGGGGTTCCTGCTGTTGTACAGCTCACACTCTCAACTCTGTGAGTATCAAGCCTAGCTGGGACACCGCTTTTGTGTTCTCAGTTTCCCCATTGGAAAGAAGAAACAATACTTCCTTGCTTCACCAGAAGGGTTTCAGACTTACCTCATTAAAATTCATCAGGACAATGAGATTATAGAGAAACAGCTATTTCACCTCAGACTACATGATGTGAGACTGTTACAGCCCCAGATAGAGAGTATTGGCATTTTAGCTCAAGATGTAGCCGCTCATGATTTTTACCAGTGGAAGTCTCTGATTCAGTCCCTGGTATGTTGGCCAAGATGCTGACCATCACACTCTTTACCTTATGGTTGGATTTCTTGAGGATGGATGGGTTGCTGCGCATTTATTGTAGGTGAGAGCTAAGAGCAGATGTATGTAAGGGGAAGCCTTTTTTGAAAAGTGAACAGGATGGTGTAAATGGCCTTTCCCTGTTTCTTTATGACTTTTTGTAAAACTCTCTAAGGAGAAACCTCTCATCACCCTAATCTAATTCTAAAAGTTGTATTCTTAGGCTGCATGTACCTTGACAAAAACGGGACCTGTAACTCCTCACTTGTGCAGATCCACTGTGGTGCTAATGGTGGAAGTTGTAGTGTAGACAGGGTTTAGGTTTCTTTACCATTATCTAGTCTAATCCAAATTTGGACAACACTTAGTGAAGAAGCCTGAATCTTATCTATATGACAGCTCCATCTTGCAGGTACAGGGGCAACAAGATCTTGTGAGATTTGGTGTAGTGACTATGTCATTCCTCCATCTCCATTCCGACTCCATTCTGTGGCTGAAACTTCAAGGCTCTTTTTGCAAAGATTGGAGTGTGTCTTCTAACATACTGAGGAATTAGCTCATCCACAGTCCTCTCTGCAGGCTCATTCTCATTATTTTTTTTTCTAATGCGTATTCTTT